ATGTTGCAGCCTTCAGTTCACAAGCAGAAATGAACAGGTCTGATGGCATTACATGGCAGAGGAGGTGCTGATGTATTACAGCTTTGTCTGCAGGGTGTCTCATGGGGAGGTCATGCAGAGTTCAGATATATTTTTTTTCCTCCCGCTTCTTCTTCTTTGTTGAAARGAGACGCTACAGAATTCAAGCCACATTACTCCGGCACAAAAAGAGATGTCAGAGTAGATCTCGTCAGAGGTGGTATTTTGGCTCAGCGTGGGTCAGAGAGGATCCAGTACAGCAGGAAAAACTGACACTTCTCACTGTGGCGCTGGACTTGTCATTATGTTGTGAAAACATGTTTGAGCACAAGTGGGATATCCTAAATAAATGGGTGTTAACGCCAAGTGCTCATTGTATGAAATTAGCATTCCTGTCAGACACATTTGTAGCGGTTAACGCTGCATCACAAGAACAAAAGAGGAAGGTCACACAGGTGATAACATGAAGTAACTTTTATTACAACTTGGTGTAAAAAAATCCTAAATGTAAACTGCAATAAAATCTTGACGCTGCTGTAATAAGAAGAGAAGTAATTTTAAACTGTGATAATGCATTAGCAGATAATGAATACAAAACATTATTTAACTGATTAGACCTTGTGAGTGAAACTGCTCTATTGTYACTGGATCTGTTTAACTACCTTTGTTTAAATACGTGTAAATGTGTGAGTTATGGCTGATGTTGCTTAGAAAAAGTGCATTCATATCCAAAAATAGTACAAACTGTATTAAAAACTGCTTAGAGATCAATAGTCCTGAAAGTGAAAAAGTCCCTTTGTTCCTTGTACTTAAAGGCTTAATATTATTATTCTTAACAGGAAACTTAAAAATAATAATAAATACTCTTAAGTCCATTTTAAAATATCTACTCAAACCAAAGTATCAAAGTAATCAAAGCAGATAAAAAAAAAACTCAGGAGAGTCCTGTTGTGCAAAGCAAATAAAACATGTATTCATCATTGTCTGAAGTCTACTTAAATAATTATAATTAATTTCAACAGAGGCTTAAAAAAATTGATGTTTGGCCTCTTTTTGTGGCTCCAAAAAAAAAAAAATCAAGTAACAACAGCTTCTTCAGTGATTGTAGTCTGTGTCCTCCAAGTAATCTGGGATGGGCAGTCCACTGAGGACTGTCAAACATCTGTTCCACACATTGAACACGGGGCAGACTGGCTGAGCGAAGCTGATGTCGAACGTGTGCAAGTGCTGGGAAGCAACGGCATCGTAGAAAGACAGTGACCCCAAATCGTAATCCAGCAACACCCCGAGACGCCGTAGATGCGGAGACGGCTCGATGGCGACCTCCTTACTGTTGTGACGCACCACCCACGAGTTGTTGCAGCGCGACAGCACCCAGGAGGCCGAGTTCTTGCCAACCCACTCGTGTTTTGGTGCCGACTTGTAAACGATCCCCACGGCAAACCTGCAAATGTCAGTGAAAGTCACAGAAACAARATTAAACAAGAGAATTCCTGCAAAATGGTATAACTCAAAAATAAATGCACCCAATTCTCTTTCTGATAAATTTAATTTTAGAACATTCTACAGGAAAAGGATGAGCAATGTTTTATTCTACAAGGTTATTTTGACAAAGTTGCAGCAATTGTAGTCCACACTTTGATTTAAAACAAACACAAATGGTTCTCACCTACAATATACTGTACTTAACACCATATCCAGTCAAAATAAGGTTTTACTTGATTTTCTTGTATAAAAATATGTTTGTTCTGATTTGTGAATGGTTGATTGTTTTGTAAAACATATACAGTCCCCTCCAAAAGTATTGGAACAGCAAGTCAAATTCTCTTATTTTTGTTGTACACTGAAGACATTTGGGTTTAAGATCAAAAGATGAGCATGAGACAAGAACTCAGAATGTCAGCTTTTATTTTCATKTAGATGTGTTGAACAACTAMGAACACACCACCCTTTGTTTGAACCAACCCATTTTTCAAGTGAGCAAAACTATTGGAACACATGACTGGTGTTTTTTTATTGACAATGTGTTGCCTTTGAAGTTGATTGTTCAAACAATTTTTGGTCTGGGTTTAAACCTATAGAATAAGTTTTTCTTGTAAAAGGGAATAAAGCAAAAATGAAGACCAGAGAACTGTCTATGGGAGMAAAGCKGAGGAAAGAAGGAAAATCAATCAGAGCCATTGGACAAACATTGGGCAAAGCAAGCACAAAAAACTGGAAAGTCCTGAAAAAGAAAGAAACTAGTGGTGTACTGAGCAGCACACGTCCAACAGGAAAACAACAGTAGTTGATGACAGAAATATTGTGAGAGCTGTGAAAAAATATATTCCTCTACATCACCTACATCACCAATGATCTCCACAGTTTAGGGGTGAAGGTATCACAATCCACTGTTGGAAGAAAGCTCAGAGAGCAGAAATATAGAGGCCATACCCAAAGGTGCAAACCACTCATCAGTAATAAGAATCAGAAGGCCAGAATGAAATTTGTAAAGAAGTACAGAGATGAGCCACAAAAGTTCTGGAAGACAACCTTTTGGACTGTGTACAGAAACATTTTGTCCACCAAATTACAGAGAAATGTATCCAATCTAATCAGGAGGAATTTTATCATGCAGCAGAAAATGACCCAAAACACACTGCCAACAAAGGACTTCATCAGTGGTAAAAAGTGGAAGATTTTAGATTGGCCAAGTCAATCACCTGACCTGAACCCAATAGAGCATTTCACCTCCTGAAACAAACAAGCTGTGGTAAAAGCATGAAACAGCATCACAAATGGAGAATGCAACAGTTTGGTGATCTTGATGAGACGCAGGCTCAAGGCAGTCATTGCAAGCAAGTGTTATGCCACCAAATATTAAATGTTATTTACTTTAAGATAAGTTGTTCYAATATTTTTGCTCACCTAAAAATRYTGTGSTGTAAGACAAACGGTGATAAATCCTACGTTGTTTAACACATCTACATGCAAATACCATGAAATAAAAGCTGACAWTATGAACTCTTGTCTCATGCTCATCTTTGGATCTTGAACCCAAAAGTCTTCAGTGTACAATAAAAACAAGAAAATTTGACTTGCTGTTACAATACWTTTGGAGGCAACTGTATATTATGCCAGGCAGTTATGCTGAAAGTTTTTTTGTAGTACCATCTGTTAGAAGCTAGCCTGCATTGCCTTCCTACACAAATCAGATCAATTCTAATCTCCCCTGCTCCATCTGGGCTTTCTTCCGTTAACATAGATTTCCCCTTAGAATTTCAAACGGGCCAATCAACAAACAGAAGGAGGAGTTGTGAATGATAAAGTTGATGGTCTGCACCATAGTCTGCCTGTAGTTTAGCAATGGCAGCACTGGAAGTGAATGAAGCCATTCAGTCCATGTTGACAAGACTTCCAAATTAAATTAAATTTGTCTTGCAAAGCCCACAGCACTCATTTACAGTCATCTCGTTAAGTTTGGTACTCCTCTCTTCCCAGTAGGGGATCGTTGCTTACAGTGCACACGATTTCCGATAAGTTTCTTAGTCTAGCTTCCTTCACAGTCGAGCTGGTGCTCTACATATACAGTACATCACGGCCAAACGTTAATGATTGGGTGAAATCAGATTTGTTTTTAAACTTCGAGTTCATGCCTCCAACAAAAAATTGTTTCTCAATAGCCAAGAGTCCAGACCCTCTGTATGAAGCAAAGTGTTGAACAAGGAGCTGGTTTTTACCAAGCTTGTTAGAAGCAAGCTAAAAAAAAACTTTAAAAACTTTGTTTTTTATTCACCTTAAAACTCCTCAATGAATTCTTGTTTTTCAGTTTTTATTTTTAAGGGCTAGATGGAGCTCAACCAAGGACTGCTTCAGGCCCTCAGACATCAACGTGCCCGTTTAGGAAAAAGAGCAAATAAATCTAAAAGAAAAAAATAAGTAGGTCCTCTGGATGGGTTCATCTCTCCTCCAAGAGACTTCTTCAGTCTGATGAGTTTCAGGTGAACTCAGCCTAATAAGCACAGCCTTGACAAACAGGTTAGTCACATGCAAGAGAGGGCCATCGCCTAACAATAGGCTTGATTAGAAACAAAACAGCCACTATTCAAAAGAATGAGCCAGCACAGACGAGCTACTTCAGGTCAGGACTCTGCAGTTTACCCTCATCTACAGGCCAGCGGTCACTCTTTCAGGGATGAAGATGTTCTCATCCTTGATAGAGAGGAACGCTGGTTTGAGAGAGGAGTAAAGGAAGCTATCTTTGTGAAGAAAAACTATCCACTATTATACAGAGGAGGCCTTCGTGTCCAGTTGTCCTCCTCCTACAATTCTGTTATTGCAAGTATGACTCAGCCCCCTGTGAGCAAAAGGTGTGAATCAGGGCCCCAATGATACCAACACAAAGAGGGAAAGAGAGGCAAAAACAAGGGGACTTCGAGCCCCACTTGCACTTAATACATACACATAAAACAACACGGGTCAGGTGATGGGGCACATGACCCTCTATGAACAATAGAGCTAATCAAGCCTACTGTTAGTCGATGACTCTCTTTTGCATATGACTGACCTGTTTGTCCATGTGGAGGCAGTGCTTATAAGGCTGAGTTCACCTGAAACTCATCAGACTGAAGAAGTGTCTTGGAGGAGAGACGAAACGTTTCACTAAAGAAGAACCCATCCAGAGGACCTACTTATTTTTTTCTTTTTGATTTTTTTCTACCTGGATTACTGAGATGCATCAGGACAGCAAAGAAATCTAACTATAACACACGCAAATGTTTTTACCACGTGCTGCCTCCTATCAGAGCCTCCCAGTAATGGCGGCCGCTGTCAATGTAGACATTTCCTGTGACACCATAGCTGCTGTGGCTGGAGGAGCGGTCCTGACTGTGGCTCTTCTTGGATGACGTCTCATCCCTCTCCACTGTCAGGTTGTCGTGGGACACCCTCAACTTCCGGTGAGCAGACTTCGGGTCCAGTTTGAATGGCTGACCTAAAAAGAAAGTCCGCACAGAAATCATGTCGAATGCTGTTTTTACAGTTACATTCTCCTAACCTTTAATATAATTTTCAGCTTGAATAAGTCTGTGCAGCTGCAGACATACTGTTGGTCTTGAGTTTCCCTGGAGCACTGCTGCGGTTTCCAGCCTGGTTTATGGCCTTCACTATGAAAACATACTTGGTGCCACTCTGGAGTCCGTGCACGGTGTACTGATTCTGCTTGATGTTCGGGACAATCATCCAGCTGTCCACAGAGTTACACAGACCTGCAGCCCGGCGGAGACACACAAAGTCACTGACAAAGAACAAGCAATTAATCATAGGCTTAGTTAGTGGAAATGACTGCTTTTTTTAATTTAGTGCTGCTTTCTTTGACTCATCTAACACAATTTCATTAGCACTCATGCGAGTGTGCAGGGGCACTGAGGCAGATAAGAAAGCATTGCTCGATTGAGCATGTTGGGACCACATTAGGAGGATCAATTCTAGAGGATGCTGCTCATTTTTAACCTCAAGACAATATCAGACTCTCTGTGTGCATCTGGATATCAATCCAGTTGGACTTTTGTTTATCTGCTTTATTTCTCATTAAAATTTGAATAGTTTTTTGTAAACATAATGAATTGTGTGATACGACATAGTTCTCAGCTGCTGTTCCGTCATTACTTGCATAAATTATCGTAAAATAACCTAAATTTTGGGTTTTTCATTTAAATTTACGAAGCCCGTTCAGTGACATTGGTTAAAAAAATACTATCACAAGCCCACAAGATAACTATTGCAGTCATTTCTATGAAGACTGATTTTAATTTATTTTATTTTATTTTATTTGTCAGAATTAATGCCACTTCAGTCACTTGGGATGCAATAATTCTTAGTAGTATACCTTGCAGCTATAAGACACAGGTCACAACTGGAGTTGTATTTGTCTAAAAGGTGTTTTTTTCTTTTTTAAAGCTCAACACTCTAAATAGGCTTATTTTTGCACACTGTGCTTTTTCTGCATGAGTCGGAGTTATGTTCAGGAACACAAT